CAAGCATGAAAAGGTATCAGTATTGCCTCACATTGGAATAAATGTTCAATAAAGACTCAAAAATATCCTTGTACACCTTCACTCCCGTAGGATGAAGAGCCCGAGGCAAGACGCAACTTCCGGGTGAGTGACGTATGTAGGATGCCATAATATACCGTAAATCTGAAACATGACAGTTACAGCTGCTTCCTTCTACTTTATCGTTACAGATGTGCTTCATTTTATCTTTGAACATATGTTACAGTGTGTTTTGTCTTTATGGCGTCTTGTCAGGAGAACTGAGTGTAATAAATGTGGATAATGTCAAAGGATTGATGGTCAATGAATATAAATGGTTTATGGTGTTATTTTAAGATAAGTAATGAAAATGTCAGATCAAATGAAAGAATATTTAGGATTAATGATGAAAGAATAACCAGTAACATAAATAATTTAAAAAATAATTAGTAAGAAATGATAAAAAAAATAATTAATAAGATAAGTAAATGATGAATAATCAATAAAACAAAATTGGAAAAGAAAGTGCAAGCACAACTTCAAACACCTCAAGCACAGACACTCACCTAACCTAATATGTTAATATCCATTATTCAGCCCACCTTTCTTTCTCCTATGCTGACTACAGCAACCCAACCTGATTTCTATGACCTCAGAGTTGACCATGTGATGTGTTATCTTTCCCTGTAACAAAACCGTAACAATTGCTTTCTAAGTTTTCCCGCGTTTTTGGTAAAAGTAAACAACGTGTGTGTCCTTTACATCCAAGTTGATCATGTGATATGTTATCTTTCCCTGTAACAAAACCATAACAATATCTCTCATTTTTCCCGCTTTTTGACAAGGTAAGCAACGTGTGTGACCTTTGCCCTTTTACCGTCCACGTAAACCGCCGCTTCCTGAGTCTAGAAAGATGCTCACCTCAACTTCCTCTTCATTTTCTGAGGTTGTAATAAAAAAATGGGGAAGAAAGGTCCTTGTTGAGAATATGAATTGCTGTAGACGGTTTGGGGATGAAGTGCATGTATGTGTATAAAGTGTGTGTGTGTGTGTGTGTGTGTGTGTGTGTGTGTGTGTGTGTGTGTGTGTGTGTGTGTGTGTGTGTGTGTGTGTGTGTGTGTGTGTGTGTGTGTGTGTGTGTGTGTGTGTGTGTGTGTGTGTGTGTGTGTGTGTGTAGATGCCAATTTACCCGCTCGGGTTGTTTTTTTTCTGCCTGGTTGGGCACCAAATTCAATATGTGTATTAAATCATTATCGAACATGTAAACAAAGCCGTTTCGCTAATTAAAAAAGGATTACATAAAATAACATTTGCTTTAGGAACTACAACTTATCAACACAAAACGTGTACATCCTTTTTCTAGCCATTCTGCAAATGAGCTAATATTTCGCAATCGATTTAGTTTATCAGATTTCTTGTTAGAACAATACCTCTGTCATTACTAATGAAACAACATTTTTATATTCAAAATTCCGTATTTTATTCTAGCACATAATAATTAATTAGTATTTGTTTTATCTCACAAATCTTCAATAATCCCTATCATGGTACAGCACTTCACTACTTTTTTCACTTCTTTTTCACCCGTTTCGTATAATTGCATGAGCATATATGAATATAAAATGAAAAATTCTCTGAATTGACGCGTATATTGCTTCTTTGTCCTTGACGATTATGAAAGGGGTTGTGGACATTGAAATAACTGTATTTTACAAATGGAGCATCTTATCCTTCCATTTTCAGAAGCCACTGTCATCTTACACTTATGATTTACTTCCTTTAAAACACAACCATCCATCCTGTTTAGATTCGTAAGATCCTCCCCTCAACGTGTGATCATTTTTTGCAACAATGAAAGGAATGTTACAAGTAAAAAGACATTCACTCAACCTGATTGTCTCGAATTTCATTTTCCAACCGTTTCTGTCGCCTTCTTGTAGTCTGATCCGTTTTCTGTACTAAAGAATAAGAACACACAAGTCACCAGAATCAACTTTCACTTCTATTTAGTGGTGGTCCTTGTTCTAAAGTGACGCGCCATTCACTACTCACCAACTGCCAATTTTTGCTGTTTCAGGGTGCAGTATAACGGGGTTGTGATATAGACCTACAGAAGATGCCTGTAAAAGATCAGTATACTTGGTATTACCTTGTACACATGTCTCAATAAGTATACATGCATGCTTTTTTATATAGTGTATTAAAACGATAATGTGTACAACGGACAGCATATTCGGTGTAATGTAAGTTACAGTATCCATATAATTATAAGAATTAAAAATGGTTCATTTAATGTATCTTGTGTTGTTTTTATGTTTCAGCGTGAAAGCTGTATCAAAATTTTAAAGACATTGTACTGTAAATTATGTTATCAAAATTCTGAAATGTAGTAAGTTACTAAAAAGAATAAAGATGTATTCTTTCGTGTATGGAAAGCTGAGGGTTAATGTTATTAGTTTTATTATTATTATTGTTATTATTAGTTTTATTATTTTCATCATTATCATTACTACGATTATTATTGTTATTGTTATTACTGTTATCATTATTATTGTCATTATCATTACTGTTATTATTTTATTATTATTATTATTATTATTGTTGTTGTTATTAATATCATTATTGTTATTATTCCTATTATTATTGTTATCATTATCACTATTATTATCATTATTATCATCATTATTATTATTATTACTATTATCATTATTATTATTATCATTGTTATTATTATCATCATTATTATTATTATTACTATTATCATTATTATTATTATCATTGTTATTATTATCGTTATTATTATTATTATTATTATTATTATTATTATTGTTGTTGTTGTTGTTGTTGTTGTTATCATTATTATCATCATTATCATTATTATTATTATTATCATTTTTATTCATTTATTATTTTATTATTATTATTATTATTATCATTATTGTGATAATGATGATGATAGTAATGATAATGACAACTGTTATTATCATTATCATTATCATTGTTATAATCATCATTATTATTTTCGTCTTATTATCATTATTATTGTTCTAACCTTTCCTATCATTTTAATTTTGTTATTATGATTATTATTGTTATATTATTTTTTTATTATTATCATTGTTATTATCATTGTTATCATTCATTATTATTATTATTATATTATTATTATTATTATTTATCATCATCATCATTCATCATATCATCATCATCATCATCATCATCATCATCATCATCATCATCATCACTATTACCATTACCGACCTTGTCGATATATATAAAGTGTGTGCGAGGGGAGAAACATAATGTATAAATAAGAAAAAAATTACTTTCACAATCTACACTAAGGACAGTTATAAATAAACAGCAATGCCGATATATCAGTACATAGGGAAGAAATTTGAATAAATTGGATTACAGGTCACGTGATAACCGACTAAGAGGTAACTGAAAAGAAATGGAATGTTGTGATTATTTGCATTCAAGTCTCCAAGAAATTTTCTTTTCCCTTATTAAAAAGAGAGATAAAAAAATAGAAGCCATATTTTAACTTTTTTTTCGTTAGTTTGCACTGTGCATTCTTTTAGTATTGTCTTGAAATCAAAATTCAAAAGCTTGTGTAAAATATCGTATGGAAATTCTCATTACCAACACTGAAGGTTGAAAAAGTTCTATGTTTAGTGTTACTGATATATTATTAATCAAGGAAACTGTTTCTGAAAAGCAAAATTGTTTTCTTAGTATTATTAACCTCAGTAACATTTTTATATGAATCCACTTTGGTTACCTCACGTTCTTACCACGTGGGTTTTGGTGGTATTATCTTGTACTTTAGTCGTTTTATCTATTGTTATTATCATTTCATCCTCATACATTATTTGGTTTCTTTCGTCCTCATGGAATAATATACTGTTGTTGGTTTTATATTTAGAGATTGGCAGCATAGTCTTGGAACTCGATGAACGCAACACGAGAAACATATATTTTGAACTTGGCGCCTCCATTTCAAAAAGGCCTTGGCATGGTGGAAGGAAAAATCGCCTTTAATAACTCTATATTTTGTGATGTGCACACGCACGTACGCACGCATTTATTATTATTATTATTATTATTATTATTATTATTATTATTATTATTATTATTATCATTGTTGTTGTTGTTATTATTATTATTATTATCATTGTCATTATATATTCAGGTATGTGTATGTTTGCGTATTTTTGAATTATCCTGAGAATATTTCGGCATTTACGAATGTGGGAGTTGTAGTCGTCTGCTACATGAAAACCATGCTGTAATCTTTGACTATTTTATTTCTCTCTTTCTGCAAAGAATTGTTGTCAGTATCTGATATTTGCAACTTTACTACCTTTGAGTTGTATTCTGCTTCAGTGTTATACAGAACACAAGCAAAAACTCTGCCCCAATATAGATTACGCAATAACTAGCAATCACTTTCGTATTTAAATTTTCACAAAAAGACATGCCAAGACGTATATGTGTTTGACATGTCTTATAAGTCTGCAGGTCACGTATGTATATATACTGTGAATCAGCCGAACCTTGCGAAAATGTCCGGAAGCAATAATGCAGTATTGCAAATGTCCTTGAAACCTGAGTCATTGATCAGGGTGATGTATGATAATATACATAGTAATGTGTGCGGGAGTATGCTCGTACGTCCTACATTTTTTAAAAGGATACATGCGTTGGTGGATATTTAAGTCATCTGAAAATAAAATACTATTGGTCGGGAGTGAAGTATGATTTCATGGCGAAGGGAATCCAAAGATTTCGCCATTTCTTGAAATCCATGTCACGTTTTTCGTAAATGACGAGGCTCATGTGTGCCTGCCCAGTCGTTATCATTTCGATACGCACTCTAACAAACACCCCTTATCAGCCATATTCCTTATCTAAAACAGCCATCATCCATATATAGACCGTAGAGGACGCACGAAAGGTACGACAACTTGGCCAGGCGCGCGAGAGTCCCTTCGCCCGTGTTAATTCCAGCCGAGCAGCCATTCAGTCTCGCGCCTCAACACAATGCGTATGGTATTTGGGCAACAATCTTTCTTAATCTTTTCACAGGCTGTTTACTGGTGTTACTTTAGGAATCCCAAGACTCTGCCGTCGTGATCTGTTAGAAATTTAGGTGCATAATAGTGAGGGTGTCTTTGAAATATGCCGAGGGATAAGAAGAACAAGCGTGCTGCTGCTGCTGCTGCTGCTACTGCTGCAGCTGCAGGTGAGTACCAAAAAACTTTTGTTCTTTTGCTAACTTTATAGTTGTGACAGGGAATGCTGTTCATTAACAAGGAAGTTCCTTCTGCGACAAGGAAAACGGCAAAAGATGTGTTTAAACAGTAGCTTCTTTTGTGTGCAGTGGCCGCCAGCTGCTCTTGCTTTGTCTGTCGTGTCAGCTGTTCCTCGCTGGCACTCGCTCCAGTTGCATGCGAGAGAAGGGGGAAGGGATGTGCCCAGCGCCCGTTGGCCCTGCTCGTTCTGCTTGCCTGCTCGTGTCACCGGGAGACTGAATTTTGTGTCAGACAGCACCATTGGCTTCTAAATCGTACTTTATTGTAGCGATGTTACCTTGATTTTGCCTTGCTTCGTTCCTTTTATTTTACCTTGCTTCATTTCTTTTATTTTACCTTGCTTCATTTCTTTTATTTTACCTTGCTTCATTCTTACTTGCTTCATTCCTTTTTTACCTTGCTTCATTCCTTTATTTTACGTTGATTTATTCCTTTTATTTTACCTTGCTTCATTCCTTTTATTTTACCTTGCTTCATTCCTTTTATTTTACCTTGCTTCATTCCTTTTATTTTACCTTGCTTCGTTCCTTTTTGTTCACTCCTTTCTGACTTATCAGTAGATCTCCATCCTCATCTGTTAACTCAGCACGGCACAAGACAGTGTCGTCGACGTAGATTTTATCTTTCGTATTTCTTGTGTTTTGCAGCGTACTTTTAGGGCTTTTATAGTCAACAGTATGAAGACATTATTTGATATACAAATACAGTATTTGCTGTAGCTCTTTCAACTTTCATCTCTGACTGTTGAAGGAACGAATTATAGATATTTGTTTTAACCAGCGTATAATTCTGTGGAAAAGAGCTATCTGATAGGATCCAATAGGATAAAATCCGGGATATTCAGCTATTCTATGGTATATTACTAATTAATTTGTGTTAATTACATCTAGATATACTTGTGAATATATATCAAACTTAAGACTGAAGTTGTCGCGCTTTTAAAACAACCAGATTTTGTGTATATTGAGAAGTTCTGGTTGATTTAGAGTAGTGTTTTTCAACTATGGGGGAATTCTCTCTGGGCGTGGGATGAATTCATGTCTCACGAGGGGAATCAAGGCAAATGAATGGCAAGACCAAACTCTCTTTATATTGGCCTTTTTTTATTGCGTCTGAACTGATAACGGAATATGGATGATTTAAACCCAAATTTTTTTGTTTTTTGTCTTTTTCCTTATGTATTATTTTTACAATAATTACTTTGCTATCTTGAACATTACACATCATTTAACTTTGCACTTACCAAAATGTTTCGGTTAATTCACTCAGTTATGTGTAAATATGAATTTGTAGAAATTGTGCATTTTAATTCAAATTTGAAAACCCATCAGCAATTTTACTTTCCATTAGTCTCATAAGATTGAATTACAAAAGAACCTGTGCAGCTATTGAAGAAGATATTAAAGCAAATTATCATTATTTTATGCGTATTGTTCAGACCAGAGCATAATGAGGAAGACGGTCTTTCAAAAAGGAATGTCATTCTGCCATATGGTGAGGTAAAGGGGTGAGTGGGAGCAAGAAATTCTCAGGATATTATTTCATGCTATGTCTTAAAAAAGAAAAAAGAAAAAGAAAATTCCTATTCTAAAAAATGTAAATAACCAATGAATAATTTTTAAAAAGTTGGCATACACATATTTTGCATACAGGTGTCAGACACATCTTGCCGTGATCTGATTTGCTTGCAGTGTTTGCATACGCACTACCAGGTTCTGCACTGGTAGTGTGACTTATTACTGGGATATGTCAGGTAGTCTATCTTACTGCAAACTTATGAACATTATATATCTGAAATATCTTTTGTTCCTTGCTTATGGTAATTGTGAAATTTTGTAATATCCGCAATATTTTGTAATAATTCCACATTTTTAGCAGTAAATTCAAAGTAAATGGATTTTTAATAGACTTACATGAATATGAGATGATACTAAAATGGAATAGCTATATGGAGACTAACTAAGAAAGTCAAATGTAAAGCAGAGAAAGAAATGGTACATCACAGTTAGAAAAAATAGAAGCACAATATATCAGTCAGAGTCCCTAAGCACATCTCATATTTTAGTCCAGCCTTCCCTTGCCTAGCTGTATAAACTCTGCTTATGTATGTCAAAAAGTCTTGATTTCATGACATACACATAAAAAAGGCATTGTATTTTTTTTATATATTTCAAAATTTATTTAGTAAATGTACGTTCTAAATGTTTACTATGCGTTATATATCATGTACTTTTTTGACAGTTCTTTTGTCACAGTATTCATTATGACTTTAGGAAACAAAGTTTATTGCCAGTGGTACTTGTGTTTCCAAATTCTTTCACAATTTTCCAGTTATAAGAACAATGAAGGAGCATTGCTATCTCAGTGATATTACTAAAGTCAGCGAAGTACAATAATCGTGTTGTAGCTACCCATACCCATTGGTGATTAGAGAGTTATCGCCTTCTAAACCACCCATGCACGCCATTACACATCACCAAAAGAAAACCCATTATACCGTCAGATAGGAAATGTGGTGATTAGGAAGGGGTTTAGGGATGGAGCTCCCAGCGAGGGAAACCTTGCAAATGGAGGCCCTGGCTCGGAAATTACAGTTGATTAGTTGTTGTTTTTTTCCTAGGTCCGGTATGTTTTTTTTTTCACATGCCAGTCTTTCTACGTCATTAGGATTCATTCCTTCATACAATGGCAGGTTGAATCCTCCGATTGAATCTTAGATTTGGGTTTTCCTTTATTTACATATTATTTATCGCCTGCTCCAAGTCTTGGATCACTACTTAGAATGCCTGTTACAGACAATTTCACCCATTTTCCTATACCAGAGACCCCTGGTTCGCCATGGCATCCCCCAAGATGGTTGACTAGTATTTAGCACAAGGATCACAGTATGCTCCCATCACCTCCCTTCTAAAATCCTGATTCCCTGTTTGTCTGTAGAGGGTAGGAATAAAAAAAAGGAAAACAAAATTCTAGTTCCTCTAGCTTTTATAACAAATATGTAATTTTTTGTGATAACCTAATTTTTTGACAGTTCCATAAACCATCTTTCTTTGACAATTACCTGAGAGGAATGTGTTGCTCACATGTGTCAATTGTGGGACATTAAAAGATGGATATATATGTGTGTGCATGTTTGTATGTATGTATGTATATATATATATATATAGATAGATAGATAGATATATATAGATAGATAGATATAATATAATATATAGATATATATAGATATGTATATATATAATATATAGATATGTATATATATAATATATAGATATGTATATAATATATATATGTATATATGTAATATATAGATATATATATATATATAGATAGATATAGATAGATAGATAGATAGATATATAGATATATATATATATATATATATATATATATATATATATATATATATATATATATATATATAATATATATAATATATATATGTATATATATATATATATATATATATATATATATATATATATATATATATATATATATATATATATATATATATATATATATATATATATATATATATATATATATATATATATATATATATATTGTGGCCATACAGATGAAATAAGTATTAGTCTCCATCCTGTCATGATGTCAGTTCCTATTTGATAACAGGGCCAGAGAAGAGTGTGATTTTGTAGGTTCTACCTAAAGGGTTATGCAGATTGCAGACAACAAATTATTTGTAGAAACACATATTGTTCTGTGATTTGTACCCAAGAGAAATTTTCAGTTTCTTCTTTCTGAAACAAAGTTGTAACTACCATCCACTTTGGGTCAATTCCATATGGTCCCACCAATTGGCTTGGGGGTCAGGTTGGGTATGCAGTTGTAATGTATTTTATGAATAGGATTACCATGGAGACCAGTTGGGGGACTGAGGTTGGGCGAAGGGTGAGGATATATTGTGTAAATACCAAAGGGATCTGCCCTGGGGGGAATTAGGTAGGATAATAGTAAAAAAAATTGCAGTATAAGTACCATGAGGGTTGGTTTAAGTTTATGGTGGTATATGTTACTGTGCATTTTTACTGAAAGAAGGAACAGGTTGTAGACTTTCAAAAGTTGGTTTTTGGGTCCATGGACTTTCATTGATTCTGAGTACATTTGTAGGGTTTCATTCTCAAGTTTTAGGCATTTCTGTTTTACCCCACGAATGGCCCCTCACATCAAGATGTATGTTAATCCACTGGATCCTGGTGACGTGAAAGTCGCTTCAATAAAAGATTAGGCCGGTGATGGATGACAGGAGAGTGTTTGAGTCTAGTTTCATTGTATACCTCATACATGCAAATGTACACATACTACTACACACTAAAATATCATCACATACGGCAATACACCTGGCAGCGGCAAACAGAATAACTTGTGATATGTGAGCGTGTTTTTTTTTAATAGAGGGTTATTTATGATGGAGGGTCAGCCAGCCAAAGTCCAACACAATAGTGGCACATTGCCAGGTGATCACCAAGGATTCTTCCTTTCATGCTCTAGGAAGGCCAATAAACCTTATATATGTGGCAGAATAAAAAAAAAATTCATATGACAATAAATGGTCAAGTGTACAGATTCTGTCTGGCAAGAATATATGTGGTGGAGGTTTGTTGACATTTTTCAGAGCTGACTGACTGATTGAATGATTTGTCTATGTGGTCAGGTACTAAAGATTTTCCTATACTTGTTATCAGGAAAAGTACACTCCTGTTCCTAGTTCTCAGTTTATCACTACATTGAGTATCTATGTCTTAATTGATTCATAAGAGAAATGTTATTGGCAAAGATTACTCTACAATTTGTAAAAGGAGTGTTAAGCTTCCATAGATGTGTGTGCTCAAAACATTAATGGTTCTTTGATATATATGGGATAGCTACTAGCAATAGGGTATCATTTTGTCATGCATATATGACTACCAAAGTGCAGGGGTAAGTAAGGTAGTGGTATCCTGGGACAGAAATGTGTGTTCCAATAGCTATATTGTATTAGCCTGGTCTAAGCTGACTGCCCATCATTGAAAAAGTAGGAGAACTGCTTCAGACAAGTTTTCAAGGACAAGTAACTGGTCACTGGATTATAGGAGCACTTAGTCTGAGGACCAAACAGAAAATGATAATAATTACTTTTATTCCATTTGTTACAATGGTTATTCTTTGTGTGACTGTCTGTTTATATTTACGTTGAAATTAGACCATCTATGCAAGGAATGGCTACCACTATGGTGAATAAAAATATGTGTGTGTGTGTGGGGGGGGGGTATGTATGTATGCATACATGCATGACCTATGGGGAGGTCAGAACAGTACTGCTTGTGTGGTTTAGCCTGGACATATAGCCAGTACTACAACTTTTCTACTTTTTTGAGATATATTTTGTGCCAAAATCCAAGAGACATTTAAGCAAGTTTTTTTTTTTTTTTTTTTCTGGCATAGTACTTCATGGCAGTTTTTAGAAAAGATATGAGCATTTTAGATATGGTATTGTGCAAAGACCATGTCAATTTCATGCAATATGTGAATGTCAGTCAGACCCAAAAATGTTACTATTGTTGCTAGATGGACCTATTGCATAAGCCTAGCTCTATATGAAGTGGATAGAAATTACGATCACAACAATGAAATCATTGACAACATTGCTTCAAACTGAAATAAGATGTTATCAGCTATCTTTGAAATGACATGAGTTTGTGTTAGGGATATGTAAGTCAAGTAATATACTCTTGTTGGATTGGGATATATTGAAAGTGAAAGTGAACTTAGATGTGATGGATGGTTTCAATGAGCCTGCCATATGGTATTGTGAGTGTCAACATGATGCAGACTGAAGCTTGGTAAAGATGACACTGCTATGTGTAGAATGTCTCCATATAATTGATTTTGTCTTCATTTCATGGATGGCATTGACATTTTCTATGACTCCTCTCCCTTGCTGCAACATGACTTCCAACACCAGCCACAGAAATGTTCCATTGTCTTGAATGCGGACACCCCAGCAGGACAGTCATAGCCTCATCAACCAAATCATGCTCGCCCAATCAGCAGGGGAAGGTCTGGCTTAATCAGGGAGGGAAAGGAAGAGAGGGTAGAGTGAGAGAGAGAGGGAGTGAACAAGAAAATGGGAGTTAAAAATAGGATGAGATATGAGAGAGGGAGAAAGAAAGAGAACAAGGGAGTGGAAAAGGAAAGGAATTTGCAGTTAGGATGTGAAAAGGGAAGAGGGATTGAAAAGCAAAAGGGGAGTTATGAATAGGACAGAAATGGGAGAAAGAGCAGAGGGAAGAGACAAGTGATATATATAATGTGTGTGTGTGTGTGTGTGTGTGTGTGTGTGTGTGTGTGTGTGTGTGTGTGTGAGATAGAGTTCATCTGTTGTAGTTCCCTCAATTCCTGCTGCTTAAGCTGTGTGTGAATCTGCAAGAACAAGATTAAGGCTGCAGACAAGAACAGGGCTTGCAGATTATGGGTTTTTACTTCCAGCCACTGAAACAGGCTGATAGTGCCACATTAGTGCACTCTCAGGTGCTATTGAGTGTTAACCCCCCCCCCCTCCCATGGATCCAGCTGCTTCTTTGACAAAATCGGGGCTAACAAAATTGGCCACTCTGATGGATGTATGGCTTGTAGGCTGGGCACACACGAACACTTGTGTGATGAGAAGACTGCATGCCTCCCCTTTGCAATGTTATTTTCTCTTTTTTGCTCTTCTTCTGCTTAATATATTTAGCTTTTTTGCTGTTTTACTTAAAATGTGTATATTTGTCATTTGATATCCTTTATCCAGATGGGAATGGACTGTTTTCCTGTATTTGTGTGTGTGTGTGTGTGTGTATTTTGATATACACATAGACTATATGGGCGAGCAAACTGCTAGATATCATGATTGCAGTCCACCTTAGACCCTTTTATAATGCATTGCTATTGGAGGTGTATCATCATTCATCTTGTTTAGGAGCAGAGGACGACTGTGGCCAGTTCTTTAGAATATTCTGATATGTAACTCGAGCTACAGCATATAAGTTTATGTAGCTAATCTCGGGTTGATATTGGTTCATTTACAGCGTCCTTATGTTGGCTAGATGTCTTGTTTGCACTAAGGAAATGGAAAATTAATTTCTGTCTTGTTTGTCCTATACTTAATTTATACCCATTGTTGTTGAATCTGTGCCATTCTCTTCAGAATATTCTATGCTGGTGGAGATGTTTCCCTCAAACTTCTTAGCTGACACAATATTTCTTTCTTTCTTTTTCTTAACTCATTTTTGATGGAGATTGTTGAATCTGTAACCCATTAGCAATGGTGGACATCCAATCACTCGTGTTGGGATGATGATTCACATGCCAGATAATTACCAGCAAGCACTAGTGTACACTCAGTGTTTCTTAACTTTATTAAGAAAATGTTTTTTGTTATTTTTCATCATCTTGTTGCAAATTCCAATGTAATAAGAAGAAATCCTGAATAAATATAAGGTGTATTATGAAGGGTAAAAGGTTTTATTGTTAAGTTGGAACATATCTTGTCTTCCTTGTAGAAGGGGCCAGGAATGGTTAGATTTTCTCTCTCATATTTTCTATGTACTAATTTTCAGTACAAATATAACGTGTCTTTGTGATTGGAATCCAAAATAGTTTTCTAACAATTTCCTAAAATTTGTGTTGTTTTCAGCATTGCCAGTTGCAGATGATGATACTGCAAGCATTACCAGTGACAAGACAGACTCCACAGCTCAGATTACTGATGGTATGTATTATTTTGTGGTGGAAAATTATCAGCAATTCGAGCCCCATTATGAGTGAAATTTTTATTCCAGTTATTTTGAGATTATTTGGTAATTGTGTAATTGCAGTAAAAGAAAATGTTTTATGGAAGAAGAAATTTTCCTCTTTAGAAATATTTGTTTGTGTTAGGTAAAGAATCTCAATTTTGTTTGCAATTAGTTTTGCGATGAATCTCCTTAAATTATTTTGGAATAACAATTTTTCCTTTAGTTAAGATTTGGCCTAGTTTTACAAAATAGCATTAAGGATGCATCATCTTTTTTTCTCTATATTAGGAGAGGAAGGTCTGTCGGAGATGGAGACCTATGAGCAGAAAGTGCGTGAAGCAATGGACTTAGCCTTGGAGAAGTCTGTTCAGACTCGCACCAATGCCCTAACAGCTTTAACAACCGCTTTCCAGAAAAGGTTTGCTTTTGATTTTGGTGTGAAACCGTGTGATACCTCAATCATTATATGAATATTCTTCATGTAGGTGATTTTAGTTTTATGTTAATTCTTTTTCTCTCTCCCCCAACCTGATTGCATCCAGGGTGATGACGCAATTTCTGCTTGACAACTACCAGACAATTACCGACTTAGTGGAGCGTTCATTGAGGAAGGGTCGAGGTCCCGAGCAAGTGGCTGCAGCACGTCTGGCCACGACGCTGGTTGTTAGCCTCTCACCTGTCGCTGAAGCTGAGAAGGTGTGTTTTTTGTCATTTTCTTTCTATAATAGGTGTGAGGTGTGATCTTTATGGGAGTAAAAGATTATGTATATGGTTCTAGCTGTGATATTTGGAAGTTCCATTAACCTAGTGCCGATAGGTAAAATAGTGGACGTAAGAACAGGATTGGTGGTGCGCATCGGCAGTTTCTCCTGTTTGCGCCTGGCTCGATTGGTAGTCTGCGAGGGATATTTAGCACCTAAAAGTTTTTATTTTGTTATGATTTATAAAAATATTAAAATTTTGAAGGTTTATCTTCATTATAGGTGCCATTGCTTAAAATCTTTACCATATAAACGAAGCTGCTACTATCGGAGAAAAACAAACCCCATCCGACGAGCCAGTGGCACGGGAATGGACATGATATGATGCCATTCGTGTCCACAACAGCCGGTGGCATGTACGTACATGCCACCCATCGGCTATGGATTAATTTCAATGTATTTTACCAAGTTAGAATTCATTTTTTATTTGATGGTTTTATTTGTATTAATATATGTATGGACACAGATAAATTTTTATTCTTTGTTCTCTGTAGGTTTCAAGACCCTAAACCCGATTCTGACCTGACAGATCCCTCTGCTGCAGCAGTGGGGAAATGGTGACAGATCTGCTGCCTGACAAGTGGCTGCAAGTGCATGCAGCAATGGTTTGAATATCACTAATGGAGTTTTTGTTTGCCGGATCACTTCCAAAGGTAATAGTTGGGAAGGGAAGAGGTTATATCAATGGTTTGCAAACCCTTGATTGCATGCCAAGTGAGGGTCAGACAGATTGTGTCTCAAAAAGTTGAAATAATGCAGGTTTATATCATTTTTAGTAATGGACATTTGTTATTCCTTTTGATGGGTGAAGTATATGATTTGACTTGGGTTATTTGATCAGAAAAGCTGTATTCAGATGATGATAACTTTTGTGTTTGTTATTCCTTGTAAGACATTTACATTTAACTGAAAAATTAAAGTACTGAAAAACTGTTCTAATACATTTTTCTTTCTTTTCTCTAGGGTAATGGAGAATTACCCAACCATCCTCCAGCAGTGTCTGCTATGCATACAGCAGCCCTAAATGGTTTCTGTTTGTTGTTGTGTCTCTTGTCACCCACAACAATTTATACAATGGCTAACAAGTATGTTGTTCCTATTTATTGTTTAAAAGTGATGAAAGAGTTCATGATAGATGAAGCAGTTGCTGTCATGGCCTGAAAATCTTTCAATCAATGTCAGGGAATGCTGGGTGTTAGTGTTGACAGTGATGTTGATGGGCCTCACTAAGTTTATCTTCCTTATGTTGTATATTAGTGGTTCCCCAACATTTTCTAGCTAAATTCTCGACATCAGCCCTTTGAAAGAAGTGATAATCTCAGCATACATTTAATCACATGGTATAATAATGTTGTTTAGCAAAAGGATGCTGAGCTGTCTACAGGCTTGGGTAGACCATCCTAGTAATGCAGTTTCTACAACACTACTGTTTCCCGTGCTCATGGCCAGTCACATAGTCTTATTAATTTGTATTGTATTCACTTTGCTGTTTTATGTGACTTTGCATGCTACTGTATCTTGTTGTACATGCAAACCATTTTAGCAGTTCTTATTTTTCTCTCCCTCTAACTTAAAGGCTATGTGATGTTATTTATTCCCATCCATGCCTTTCCTACAATATTACAGTGAAACTAATATACATCACTGTTTCATTGGCTTTTTGGTGTTTACTGTCAGGCATTTGATCTTAGTATATGAAACGATATACAGATTATTCTCAATTGAAAGTGGTAAAGAAAGATTAAAACTTTTCCTTTGTCATTATTATGATGATTCCTTCTCTCTTTCTCCAGATTAGTGAAGGAGATGTTTGATCTTCTGGGAAGTAGTGATTTGGATCTACGTATTCAGGCAGGCGAAGCTGTAGCTTTGATTTATGAGACCGCTCGAATACATGATGAGGATTACTCCTGGAATCGAGAAGCAGATCTTTGCTCCGTTCTGAAAGGTAATTTTACCCATTATGTCCATTTATTTCAGGTTTCAGTTGAGATTTAGTTTAATTCTTGGCAATAGTTACGTAGTCCATGCTTCAGCAACTTAGTCAATTGTACTTTTAAAAATTTATTCTCCTTAACACTAAATACAAATAAAAAATATGATTATCTCTTTTGCTTCCTTGAGGTTTGTCTTAGTAGCCAAAGTTTTACATAGAGTAATTTTAATATAGTTTGAGGTGCTAGAAAAGGAAAATAATTTCTAGAGTGGATTCCATTCAATGCAAGACAGGACATATGACATTTTATGAGAAAATAGGTCAATATCTAAAAAAAAAAAAAAGTGGGGGGGGAGATTATAGATTTATGAATATAAACTGAACACATGCCAGATCCTCAGAAAAGATAGCAAATGAAAATTTAAGTCTTCCTTTCTTTCTCTCTTAGAATTAGCTACAGATTCCCACCGGTTCCGAGCAAAAAAGGACCGGAAGCAACAGAGAGCATCTTTCAGGGATGTTGTGAGGACAGTGGAAGAAGGGGAACAGCTGTATGAAACAGTGTTTGTAGGGCCACAGAATCAACGCCAAGAACTGATCCTTGATACCTGGTCACTCAAGTGGCAGTACTCTTCCTTATGTCACATCATAGGGCAAGGGATAAGTGTTCACATTTCTTACAATATTGGGGTAAGTGAAGTCAGTACAAGATATTGATATACAATATTATTGTGTGCTTGCATCAGTTACTCTTGTCATTTTCATCTCTCAGGACTGCTTTTCTTGTTACCACGAATCCCCTAAGTATTACTTGTTTTCTCAAAATATAAAAGCAGATATTTGTGCGTTTACATTTTTAATGTTTTAATATAAATTTGACTGGCACATAGGAAAAGCATTAAGATTTTTTTCAGTGATATGCATATGAATTTAGGTAAATCAATGTAGCCTCATTCTGGTCTCCCAACAGGAAAAAATAGCACACAGAAAAGAAAAAAATGAATGCATTAATTCGAATTAGTGAATACTTTAACCCTGGTTTTGTTTAAATCCAGTGTCTTGACAGCAAAGTGGCAAATAGGGTGGTGAATATTATTTGGTAAAACAAGTCTTCATTATTTTTTCAGATACGTGACATATTTGCATTGGGACCACCACCAATTCAAATGGACCATGGAATGGCACTGCTAGCAAGGAAAACCCAAAAAAGACCAAACCGGGAATCTCCAGCCAGCAAAGCTCGACAAATGGCACGCAACAAGAACCGTGACAATAGACAGGCAGCCAAAGTCTATGAAGATTAAAACTTTCTCTGTTATATTTTTGTATCAGTTTAAATCAACAAATATCCATTTATTCTCAGAATGCATCTTTATGTTGTCCTTTCTTCTCTTTCTTCTGCTTTTGAATGGAGCAGTGGATTAATGTGTATGCAGATGGTTTTTCTTTAAGGATCACTTATTTTGTAGTTTTCTGAAGTCTGACGACCTAATGCTTGGGGACGGAGACTAATTTGTTTTTATGCAAATTTATATGTGAGGAAATGGATGGAGGAATATTTGATATCTCTACAGACATACATAAGTGTATGTGCGTGTATTAAATACAAATGTAGTCAATACATACTATCATACACAAATATATCTGTACTTAGATTTTTTTTTATTCCTTTCTGTCTTCAGATATTTGTAGGTCACCCTGTGAATAGAAAAGCAGTGAAACAGGACTGAAATGAATTTACATTTTCTAAAGATGTAGTATAGATGGTTTGTAGCAAATAATACACACATGATTTTCCTTACTATTCCTTTGTTTCACTCATGCTTATTTTTTATAAGAAATGTTGATCGGAAGAAATGTTTTTCATTTCAGTCTAGGGAATAGACTAGTATATACTTTCATATAAGTCATTCATGACAATTATTTTATTTGAAATATTCTATAGTTTCACTGTACTGACTTGTATTTTTTACATGAAATTTGGAGGGATGTTTTTTTGTGTGTGTTTGATGCTGGTTAGACCTAAAGATGATCCTATCCCTGTTCAGTTCTTCATTCTTTCCATGATTTGGAGGCATCTCCTGTAGTCACGGGGAAGCTTCTAAAATTTCTTGGTTTTCCCTTTCCCAGTGATTATTCAAATGATGTTTATAGAAATATCTTGCAACCATGCCTTGCTATTAATACTATATTTGCCCTTTGTGATGTAGTAAATAAAGTACAAGAGCAATCATGATTATCTTTGTCCCTAGCTTTAGTCACTATTTAAACCTTAAATGGTGGGTGGCATAACATAAAATCCTTGTCAAAAAGGGCAGGTGGGATATGTTCAACTCTGAGACGGATGGTATTTTTCCTGTTTGAGGGTCACCCTGCCGCTGTTTAAGCGTTAATTTAAAAGATAAGAAAGTGGATATGATTGAGTATGTGTACTTTTTACTACACACCTAGACAAAAAAAAGGTGTAAGGATGATTGATTTCTCAAGTTTAATTTGCATTTCTAAAAGGCTTTTCTATAACTTTTTTTTTTACAATATTCAATCTGTACCATTAGTTTGATTTATGAAGGTCAGTGGCCAATATGAGCTTAACTTAACACATAGAAGTATTGGACCATATTAAGTAGAAATATTAAATACATATTAAACTTTGTGTATACATTCATATGATAGTGCAATTTTAAAGAAATTAGAATCATGGAGGTCCCTGTCTAGAGCAAGGTAAAATATAATTCCAAAATAACCCAATATTATAAATTAACATTACTTACTACCATGCTCATGATGCATATGGTACATCATGGGTTGTCTATTTGTTTGTAGTATGGGATTATCAAATATTTATTTTTGAGTCCGTGTTAATCAGTATATGTGCACATTTAAAATGCTTTTATCTTAAATAGATTGCATAAACTTGTACCGATAGTTCCAGGCTGCAAGTTTTAAGCAAAGCGCTTTGGTGCATTCAGTATGGGAGGATGTGTAAAAAGTCTCTTGGAGGTAGATAACGGATGAGTTATAAGATAAAAGGATATGAAGAGGTCAGGTCTGTGATAACAGAAACCACGAATATTCCAATGTAGGAAAGCTAAAATTTAGTTGTTCTATGAGTGATACGGTTACAGTGCGTGTTGGAGAATTTAAAGGGGAAGGAGCTAGGGGGTAAGATAAGGAATTAAGGGGGGGTATTATCAGGAGGGCATCAGGAGGTGGAGGATCTGGGAAGGCATAGCATAAAAAGTCTCTTGGAGGTAGATAACGGATGAGTTATAAGATAAAAGGATATGAAGAGGTCAGGTCTGTGAGAACAGAAACCAGAATAGGGATTCACGTGTGTACCCAGGAGGGAGTGGAAGAGATAGAGGGGATGGAGGGAGGGTTAATGTAGGTGTAGTTGGAGCTGATGGGGACAGGCTGTGTTTGGAGGGAGTAGGAGTAACAGGTGTAGGGAGAATATGAGAAAGAGGGGGATGGATATCAGCAGTCACTTTGAGTGGAATTTGAGGGTGGATGAGGGTTTTTGGAGTCATTTTCGGACTTGAGCAGATAGTTTTGAATATCTGGAGTGGAGAAGTGGACAATAAGGCTTAAATAGTAATAAGGAGGATGGAAGTATGATGAAGAAGCTGAGATTGTTGGGAGAGTAGGAATGTCTCCTGAAGATTGAATCTTGACTTGGGTGGATAATGTACTAGTAGGTATTGAGGAGTGGGTAGTTTTTGCAGTGTTCAGAGTCATGGTCAAAGGAGAGCCTGGGATGGGGGAACCGGGAGTTTGAATTGGTGGGGCTATTTGATGAAGGCGCAAGCCTCATTGCTCCTAACAAGGATATAACATCTTCATTAATGGCCATGGTAAGCCTAGACTATGTTGGGGAAAGAAACACTCCACCCCTCAGGGTCCCCTTGAAGGGAAAGGGACAGACATCTAAAACAGGGGAATACCATGCCCATGGTTCCCTCAGGCCATTCAGGACTGGCATAAAGTCATCCTTTCATCCTTTCAGCAAGGCTCTCCTACCTTAGGAAGTGGATAGCAGAAGGGGTTGGAGATGGGATGGAAACAAAAAAGCAGGAGGGGAAAAACACACATGCAAAATTAGTTGAGTCGAGGCTGAGGTCCAAGGTAGGGGATATCTCCAACATCAGGTTCCATCAGGACTGTGTTTTTGGAGAACTAATGGCATCACAGAAAGTATAAGAAAAACTCCACAATAAAGTTATATCATTTATACAGAAGGTGAAATTGCATTTATTGTATCAAGAAAATATTCCCTTTTCTTTTAACAGAATATTTAATTTTGTTCACATGGAAGATATATATAATTACCTACATTTTATTAACAAACAGCTTAAAATGAATACTCTAATCTGGCTTCCAAAGAATCTGAATATTCCCGTTTGTTTTTGCTATCAGAGAGCATAAAAATTCACAAAGACCTGCTCTATGTCATTTCTAGTGACAGTACACAAAAATGAAACTATCTTAATAAAGCAAATTATCATATTTCAAAGCTGCTGCTGGTTTTTCCCTTCAACCTAAAGTACATTCATAATATGGCTGATAAGCAACTCTTTACTTTCTACTCTAGTCCATAATAGTAAATAAAAAGACCTAAAACTCTGTAAAAAAATTATCTGAATATATATATACATACATCACTTCCAGGTTATATATTTGTGTTAGCATATTTACAGAATATTGGTGGGAAACTCCTCCAGTATATATATTTAGAACTCTGGCTTGGAATCTGACGACTGCATCTGTTGCATCATCTGAAAAAGACAAATATTTAATAATAATAATAATAAAATATATAATAATAATAATGATAATGAAGAAGAAAATATATAATAATGATAATGATAATAAATGATAATAATGATAATGATAATTATAATGATAATTAAACAATCAATAATCATAATAATTATAATAATAATAATAATTTTTATGGACCTGTTTCTATTACTTCATCCACATAATCCCATGTATGCACAACTTGTGACATATTAAAAAAATCTCTGATAAAATAAGTTGAAAGCATTATTCTACATAAAAGATTATTCTCTCTCATCTTATACGTTGTTTATAAATCTGAATTTAATCTACACTTTAACACAAATTAACTCTGATTAAAAGAATAATTTGAAAAATAACGATGTAAAAAGGCTGATAAAAGTTATATTTATAATAATAATCCAAAAATTCACCAACTTACCGAAGTTATTTTACTTAAGCTATTGGGGGTGAGCTGCGACAGCTGCTGTAGCATGGACTTGAGATGTGGTTCCTTTTGTGGGGTTTCACCCTCTCCTGGTTTGGCTGTTAGATACGGGTGTTCTAACAACTCTGAGATGCTAGGACGTTTTCGCTGATCAAATTGCAAGCACAGCTGCAACACCTCTAACAACATTTTATTCTCAATTTCGGGGAAGTTTACTTTCGTATTAGGATCAGAGATTGCCGACAGCTTTTGCAGGGGGTTGCATGCTGGGGGGGGTAGCACATATATAGACCTGGAGATGTGAAACATCAGACTTCACACCAATCTGAAAAGAAAGAATAATATCAGTAAGTCAGTAAACGAGTAAAAGAGAAAGAAAGAAAGAGAAAGGGAAAAAGGGGGGATGGGGGAGGGGGAAAGGGGAGGGAGAGAGAGAGAGAGAGAGAGAGAGAGAGAGAGAGAGAGAGAGAGAGAGAGAGAGAGAGAGAGAGAGAAGAGAGAGAGAGAGAGAGAGAGAGAGAGAGAGAGAGAGAGAGAGAGAGAGAGAGAGAGAGAGAGAGAGAGAGAGAGAGAGAGAGAGAGAGAGAGAGAGAGAGAGAGAGAGAGAGAGAGAGAGAGAGAGAGAGAGAATATATGAGGGGAGGAGGGGATGGAGGGAGGGAAAAATAAAGATATTAACCATAAATTGCACTTTTACATTTTCTGGCATCCTTGTCTCATGTCTTTCCAATTTTAGAGCAATGTATAAGAAAATATCTGGCTTATCCTTCAGAAAACAATAACATTAAAAGAGAATCAAATACCTTAATAGTTGGACGGTCCCCAGAACGACCATTGATGATTGGGCCCGAATGCACATCCATCAAAGACTCTGGACTCATATAATTAAAGGTTCCAGCCTGAAAGAGCAAGTGAAGTCAACATACGCATTTGTGTAATTTTTATATATAAAAATTTGTATATTTATATTTATATGCTTGTGTGTTGTGTTGAAACTGCCCTACAAGTGTCAATTTTTTTTTTCTTATGTGTAGTTGTCTTTGAAACTATTGCATTACTGTGAAAATATTTTTTTTTAACACCATGTTCCTTGTACATATCTGGTTTGTGCTTGAGTAATAATGCCTTACCTGACTATCCTTGATCACACTAGTCATGTCTTGCTGAATGGAGGATGCAATGCCAAAGTCAATCAGCTTAACAGTCTCATTAACAAGCAGAAAGTTGGCAGGCTTAAGGTCCGAGTGAATGATACCTGGAAACAAAAATATTGTGGACATCAACACAAGTTGATACATCTAAAAGAATGCCCTAGAGTATTAATTCACGTCCAACATTTACCAGCATATGGCATATGATCTAAGTAGGTTACATCACATTTACATCTACAGGCCTATCTAAAAGTCATTTCTATAGTATTTAGTAATTTTGTAATTTCACATGTTTAGTAATTACTTACACTCCAGTGAACACAAAGCTGGTGACAACTGTATATTAAATACACTTTAAAGGTCCACTGTGTGACCCTTAGGTGACTGTAATCAAATGTGTCACATTCTTTTATCTTTCAGTATAGGCTAACCACTGCTCCTGGATTATTGCCTAACCTTAAACTTTTGTATTTGATGGACAGGTCAGAATCAAATTATCTACTACATCTATGAAGTAGAAAATTTAAAATTTAATCAACTTCTCGGATCAGGGTGACATCACCATCACATCATAAAAATATTTGGATGAGGGCCAGGTGACAGGAACATGCCACAATGAAAAAATCTGGCTGAAGGTTGGGGTGGCAGGAATACGTCATCATGAGAATTTCCACTAAAGGCAGTGGTGACAGGAAAAGTCTTGGAGGGTAATTAAACTCAATAGGCATTTAGGAAGGGGTTCTTGCATCACTGGAAACACCTTTGCAAATTGTTCACGCACTCTCTCCTCTCCCTGTTCCTCTTTGTCTGTCTCTGTCTATCTCTCTAACATTTTCCCAATTTCATACGATTACAAAAAAGTTCTGGGATATATGAGCACAAGACAAAGCATATTTTGTGCGTCAGTTTTATCTTAACAAATAATCAGATCAAAATTGGCTTTGCTTAAATATGATGGCTGTGGCTGGGTAGCAAGGGGAGGTCAAGAAACTGGCTTTTTAATGTTAACTTTGGATTTAACAAAGCTTTTTCTTTTAATTCTATCAGGTCATTAGATTGTAGGTCAATTATTCTTACAATTAGAGTAAATCAATAACTGAAAATTAGCCAGTAAATATCATATTACATAAAATGCAGACATGAACTAAACACTAACCTTCTTGGTGGATTGCCTGTACAGCCAGCAGCATGCCTTGCCAGTAATGCTGGATTGTAAATGGTGAGATCGGTTTGGCATTTTTACCTCGAGCGCTATTCAAGATAGATGCCAGGTCCCTGTTTCCTTTTTCCATTACCAATTTGAGGTAAATATCAGTAAGTTCACTGAAAAAAAAAGTAAACAATTTTATAAGGGTATTTAATCGAACAATATTCTCAAAATCTGTAATAAGTTCTACCTTCACTGATTCCTATGGGCACCAGAAATTACACCATATGTATATGGCTTGCAACAGCCTCATTCAATTAACCAGCCTAATGTATTCCATACACATTCCAAATAAGAGCGAGTTTACTGAACTCTTTTTAAGATAAGGAGAGAATATTTATTGGTTACTCTATAACCAAGAACATTTCATACTTACTAGTCATACAGCTGAATAACCTTATCAGACCACTGCAGTCTGTTGAGTATATCTATTTCATTCTTGTATGAGTGAAGAGTAGCTTCATCTACACCCTCAAGCTCAACAAGTTTAATTGCCTTCACTTTACGTGTTTCAAGATCCAGTACCTGTATAAAAATCAATTAAATCATTTAAACATTACAAAAATATATGAATATACAGGAAAAGGAATCATCTCTGGTACATTAGACATGAGGTAATCGAAAAATAAAAAATTAAAATATCCTGCAAAATCAGTTTTGAAGATATATATATATAAAACCTCAGTTTCTATATACACCTTGATTCCACTTTCTTTCAGAATAGCTACTAATTATATTCAAGTTATGAAGTGTCATAATCCTACCTCATACACTTTACTGGATCCGCCTCTCCCAACAAGTCCGAGTTTCAGATATTCCTGATCATTGACGACAATGTGATCCATCTGCTGAAGCTTTTGCTTGGTCGGGGGAGTTGGGGGCATTGCTCTCAGCATCTGGCCGGATGGTGTTTGGAACTGCCTAGACTGTGTTCTGTTGATGACTGGGGTTTCCTTGAACTTCATCTCTCCTGTGGCAGAGGGACTTTTATTCTTTGTGGTGGTTCCTTGAGGCGCTGGCTGGTTGGTCTGTGGAACTTTTGATATTTTTGGTTGTCTGTATTCATCTGCAGTACTGGAATGAGATGACAGTGCAGACTGGGCTGCATTATGGTGCACCTGGGAAACAACACTTTGTTGTGGCACTGCTGAGGAATGCTTTGCATGCGCTAAATCCGCACTGTCTTTGGCTAGTCCTGCACGTGCGCTGATCTCTTCACTGCTTACATTCCTGTGAGCAACTACTGGCACTTCCTTGTTTTGCTGAGCTTCTGACTTCTGGCTTAATTCACTAAATCTTGTAGTAGATACTGGTCTAGGTGTTGCTGTTACACTTGACGTCAAGAAAGCTTTTTGGGATGGAGCTGAACTCTGTGTCCCACGTCCAGAGGCAGAATCCGGAGAAACCTTCGAGTGTGAACTAGAGAGTGGCACGGTGGTCTGTGGAACAGTTTTTTGATTTGGTGTTTGACTGCACTTAGGAAATAAGGACTTCTGTGAGAGATTCAACTGATCAGAATTTTTAACCACTTTTGTATCAATGCTTTTTAAAAAGTGATCGCTTTTCAATGGATCCTTCTGAGAGACAACGGGTTTGCTGTCACAAAAAATGTCCCTTTCCAGCAATGCCTTCACTGTCTCTCCTGTGTTACTAACTTCAAAAGAATACTCTTTTGCAGCTTTTGCTCCGCCCAGATTAAAATCATCTGCAAGCAAACTTTGGAATTTTGTATTTTGCATATCCTTGAACACTGATTCTAAAGTATTACTGCATTTTCCCTCCAAAGTGTGACAACTTAAGATTGGGTTCGTATTTTCTTTATTGGCATGTTTACTCTGGGGCATTTCAGAAAAGTTCATTTGTCTACTTGCAGCAGGCTTCACTGTCTCTGCAGCTGTCACTCCAACGGCAGCTTTGAAACTACTTTTGTCCCTCATTTCTGGGGTAGAAACAGAGCGCAATATTTTGCTAGAGGACATTGATAAATGATGTCTACCAAAGTTATTGGGATTTAACCTTTCTCTATTCTGTGGTGAGACTCTTCCCGAGATTTCTTTTGGTTTTAGTTCTCCTATATTCACTTGAGCACTACTGCCTTCATCAGAATTTGTCTTCTTCCCATGTAGCAATGACTGAAGTTCTTCCGTTTTTGTCTGCATTTAAAAATGTAAATTAGAATACAAAACTACTAGGTATATTCATTTCTCTTTAAATCCAGTGCACAAGTCTTGAATAAATGGAAAATTTCATGATATTTTAATAGTCAGGATTGATGTTTGGAATAATTATGTAGAAGC